CTTCAAGTAATGTCTGTAGTTTACACGAGTAATACATTACTTACTTTGCAGCAGCCGTGTTCCTCCGTGACCACGGCTGGCATAAAGCATCTAAATCATAGAGCCGTAGTTAAATAAATTAAAAATAAGTTAACGTAAATATTTCGCATTTAAAATCTGTTAACGTATTTTTATTTAAATTACATCGTTTCAACTATAGTCAAGTTACTTTTCATACTTTATATAGGAATATTTGATCTTTGAATAGGATTGAACAAAATTGCGCTTGACGCTATGCGTAACCGTTAAGACAATTAATATTGTTCTAAAATTCATATCGTGGAACATATTTTTTTATTGAGAGATGAGGTTAGAAAAGAATGGGATTTCGTAAAATAAGTGAAATGCCATAGTTCTATAAAATTTAGTTAAACTGCGTTGTCAATCTATTTCGGCTTTAGACACTCGGTACGGTGATACTTAGTACGGATAGTAAGATATAGGTCGCGATATGAGATTCACACGACGATAAGATAATTGACCTACGTTTTAGAGAGAAAAGGCCATCCTTTAGAAAATGTAAATACATAAAATGCTATCAACATTTCTATAGACACCAGCTATTTATACAAAAACATATATAATTCACTGCCAGCACTAGAATTAATATAAACACATGCACATATAATGTTAACTTTGATAAGATATTCTACGACAACTATTATTGTTGTACAGTAATAAAAAAGCCTTGTGAAATACTACACATCACTTTAAACCAACAAGTATCTATGTATTTTTATGCGTTTTATTAAGGGTAATATGTTAATTAAGAAACTTAATAATCGTTATACCGGGTCGGATATAATGTTAGTTCTATATTTAAGATTTCCGAACGGTAATTTTCATAGTACAAAGGTTGGTGGTATCCCCAGTATCAATTGGAGTAGGAAATATCTCCCACGAAGAGCACGTTAAGCCATAGGTTATCATTTCTAGTTTATTGGTGATATTAGTTAAAGCTCACCAACCCTCACTGGTGTAGTGTAGTGTGAGTCTTACATTTTAACCTCTCTTTCCTATTAAAAAGGACACCTGCGTTCAACACTGGTATAGCTTGATACTTGTTGTTGCAAAATCCTATTTCTTACTTTCATTATTAAAAGCAATCCAAATGCATTAGTATTTGCATTACAAATAATTAAATTTTGTTAGTAGCCTGTAACGCACAAATGCTACGACGTTACAACACAGCGTAGAGCATCTTCTTGTATCGCGGGCATTTGACATTAAAAACAAAGAAATACCAGCAAAACAATACCACGAATTCATCTGAAATTTTTGTTTCAGCAATAGTTATGATACAGATATGATTTTCACCTGTAAAATTTATTGTAAAAATTGGCTAATGGAAACTGGATTGTGATAACACGCTTATTAAAGTAATGTTTATAAAAAAATTTTATAAATGTTTGAAACGCGATTTAAATTACTTAATCTAATATGAAAATTATTTAGTCTTTAGGCCCATAGGTCTTTAGGTTACGGCTGCTGCAAACAGAAACGTCAGGTCGTAGTTAAAATAATTTTTAATAAAGTTTGACTAATGTATATCGCATTTCAAACGCGTAAACTACAGACAGTATATAATAAGTATTCCACTATTAATAAAACAGAAAACTAGAGAGTATTGTCTATAATCAACTGTTAATAGCGTTTCATTTTAACTCAAACTTTAAAAAAGTTAGACATAAAAGTACATGTGAGCCAATGCATAGATGTAGGTACATGCAATATATAATATTATTATCGACACTTGTCGCGATAACGGGCTGAGTCATATGACCAAACTTATCTATGCTCTTTGTTTTTACAGGTAATAATTATAATGCACAATGGCTCGCCAGAAATACATCAAAATTTATTTTTCTAGCATAGTATCCTTATGTGTTTCTCAAAACATTATTATTATGAGATACTTAGTATTTTAGAACGCATGAGCTGGCCCAGCAAACGTTGTTGTGCTACAAAAAAAATTTAAGGAATATTTTGATAAAAAGTAATTAATTTTGAGTGTGTAGATATAATATTTGTCACGATATAAAGTACAGATTACTCTTTTAGTACAAAAATCTGAAACTACCGTCTTGTTGAGGTGAAAATGTTTCTTTTTCATTAAGCATCGTTAACGCCGAGCTGTTTTTATAAATTAAAATCTTCTAAATTAATTTAAACATTACTCAACTGACACTAAATTATAATTAAATTTCGACGGGCTCTTTACTGTAATGGTAGCAATGTACGGCTAATAGTCAACGGTCAAGCCATCATCCCCAGATGAAAAAGCCGTGAAGTTTAATCATATTTCGGTTTTAGTCTGTGGATTTCCGAGTATCCAAAGCCAAAATTGGTCAAGGTGGTAAGCCTGGGGTCATTCACCTACCATCAAGCGAACCCCAGGCATGTGTCCCCTAAATTATTAAAAAATATATTAGGTATATGTCATGTTTCAAACAGTCTAGTGTTTTATTGAAAGAGACTTTACGTAATATTTTTGTGAATTCACAATCGCTGGCAAAACTGTAAAATCGTTATAATGTTTATCGGCTCTGACATATTGTAGATATATCTATGACAGCGGTCTGTCTGCTGTCAATATCTGCCAAGAGATAAACCAGCTTCTCCCAATGTATCGGCTTATCATCAACATCTCTTGTCAGATCGATGTTTTCAGTTTCCTTCAATATTTTATATTGAAGGATGTAGATTACTTCCCTGTATAAAATTACAGAGTTCTCTATTTCATTATTATTTAGATCAATCTTGTACCTGCTTTGGTATGTTGGTATTAGTGTGATTACCGAGGCTCTGAATTGTAATGCTACAAATATTATAATTAACAAACCGCTGTAAAAGCGACCATTAAAATTAAAATTAAGAATCGACTATAAATTGAAAGAAATTACGACTCGAGCGGAACTTGAGTCGGCATCCACAGCGTTCCTTGCTGTCACTCTTACCAATTGAGCTACTTAGTCCTACACGTCATCGTCGAATTTATTATTTTCTTTTGCTTTATTTATCATTGAATAACATATAGCTAATAGGGCGTTCTAATTTATGAAAACTATGCTAGCCAGTGCGTTTACTCATCGGTTCATTTACTAGCAAGTAGGTGATCAGACTTCTGTGCCCTGCATATCTGCATTGTTTCTCGGGATTAGAACTCGCGCTTTACGCAATGCCAGGTTACAGAAGCGGTCTAGACCTAACCTTATCTAGACATAGGTCTTATATTATTAGACAAACTGTAACATGTTACATAAAGGTTGTTGGTTTTATCTTCTAAAACAGGCCGCAGCTGTCTTGCATTTCTCACCTACACAGCGATATGTACACTACAGCTATCTATCATAATTCAGAACGCTTACATTGTTTGTCCACTAAGCTGGTGACGTCATAATGCCATACCTGTGGGATGGATGAGATCAATTACCCGAGTAGTAAAAAAAAACAATTTTCTTGTTACATATCTAACGATATACATACATACGTGCACTAACGCACACAACACGTGCATATATACATTCATGTAACTGCAAATTTTGAAAAAGACTAGGCACTCTCTATTTGCGCATGTATGGTTATTAGGAGTTGAATTGATTGTTTAACAAGTAAAAACGTGTTTCATTAAGTTTCTTGAGTCTGCTGAAAAACAACAACGACGTCGGGCCGTAGTTTAAATTGAATAATTTACAATCATAAACTTCATATAAATTAATTCCAACCTTATTTTCGAAAATGATTTTTAACTTCGACCCAACGTTTCGGATGCTTGCAGCAGCCGTGTCAGAGAGACGGTGTGTTTATACATATATCGAATATACACAATGAAATTTGCTTAGACAATGTTTAGGGGAATTGCTATTGATGAGAAAAATAATAAATAGAGAAATATTATTTTTGATCAATGTAAAAACAGATTAATATTGTTTGTTTTGTCCAATTAGAGAACTGGATGTCCAATTTGAGACAAAACAAAAAATATTACTTTTAGTGGAAGTTAACTGTAGTTAGTTTATTAAATAAGCAACAGACTAATTATAAAATGGTGATGTAACAATACTCTTACGAGTATGTGTTGTGAAACACAGATAAATAACTCGAGAGTTAGGATTATTAACGAGTGGAGTGTTCTTATCAACGCATCACTGTATATTGCAATTTTGGGTATATTTTGCTAGCCATCTTGCAAGTCTAGTCTATGAAACACTATTTCTACGATAATAACATCAATTAAGACTATTTGATTACTACTATCTTTACTATGTTACAAAATATAGTGATAGATAATGCTCGTAGTAATATTTCAAATTGTTTGTCCTCGCTGTAAACTATGACAAAATGTTTTCAGTAGTGTCGCAATATCTAAAGTAGCTATCTGTTTAGCAATAGTTTATTCTATCTTTTTGTATTCTAACGAATATATGGTTTTGACATATTTAATAAAGGAAATAATGATTGAAAAATGCCACAATTTACAGTCTTGGACTCATGGAAGGAATACCGAAAATCCGGTCACCCATCACCCACCACATACTAAAAAGATGTGCGTTCCGGTTTCAATCTGTAGATTACGGAAAATTATAAAAACTAAATGGGACAAAAACACATCTTATTCCCTCCATTTTTATGATAGAGGAGGACAGCCGAGCATGGGCTACACTTGATGGAAGGTGATAGCCATGTAAGACTTTAGATGCGCTATCGACCTATTTTGGCTACCCCCCCTGTCTACAGTCGTTCTTATCGGGGCTGTTCAGTCCATGTCTGTCTAAAAACAGAAATAGCAGAAGAGCTTTAGACTTCTATCGTTATAAAGTACCAATTATAAATTTTGAAATTTCGATTGGTGCGATAGGGCCAGTGTAAACTTATGGGATTGCGTATATTATATCAAAGTGCATCGACCCCACCCCCAGTGGTCGCTTGTCTAAGATATGCAAACCGTTATCTCGTTTATCTTAACTAGGCGCTAATGTGTCGGTTATCTTAGAGATTTGATAATCGTATCTAACAGATACTGTATCTAGTCGAGCAGGTGTAACGCAGTACAGTGCATAGGGTTCCGGGACCGAGGATGTGCTGCGGTGACGCTGGTGTGCGTGTCCTGGTTGCCTGCTCGTTGGGTGTGCCGTGTGTGAGATAAGCAGAGCAAACAGCGCCACGGCAAATATTTGTAGGGAACGGCGACGTGTCATACCACCTCGCCTCGCTCCCCTCGCGCGGAGATAGCGAGCCACTATCCCCGATATGGAGTAATTATCAGATACAAATTCCACAGATTTGATTACGAGAGTTCGTATCTTTATTATGCGGGTTACAGCGTTCCGAGACGCGTCTGTCGGCCTGTTCCTGACTGTGATCGCTGTGCTGCCGAGCGCAGCTTGCGGTGTGTGTGTTTGTGAGGGGGGGCTGCGGGAGGGGGCGGTAATCCCGTGTTCCGATAACTGCGCAATACGTCCGCGGATTATTGATGGGCACCGCGCGACTTCATTATGTTATCGCTTTTTTTTCCTCGAATATTTTTCGTGAAAAACCAATAAAGTGTAGGAGGGGCGCGACGCGGGAGGCGAGGTACGGATGACGCGATAAGCCGCCATGTTGTTTCAGTGCTCTGTCCCCTCTCGCTCCGCTTTCCTCTTTCCGCGTTCGCCCATGAAATATCAAGAGTATCACGCAGTGAACACGTTTCAGCTTTCACAAGTGCTGGCACAATAAATTGAGTACCTATTTACCTGAACAATCAATTGAAAAGTATACGTTTTCTGTGGGTTCTTTCCTCTGATGAAAGCGTAGGATACCTAATAAAGATATATAAGATTATAAATTTACTTAGCTACTTTAACTAAAATTGTTGACCAAAATAAGTACATAGTATGTTAGTACCTAGGAACCTAAATGGAACTTCAGTTTGAACCGGTTAGCTTTACCATTATTAATTTAAAGAGCGATACAGAAAGTTGATGTATGAACATAAGTACTTAAATTCACATAAGTAAATAATTAAGATAATGATTTACTCTATATTTCTCTAGAAGTATCTCATGAAAAACAAATTTTAAAACTTTAAATCCGCTTTAACAACTTTTTTAGTCTGTGTGTATAAGTAATTGAGACTCATTGAACAAAACAGTTTCGGCGTGGTCACGGCTACTCCATAACATCCGAAACTTATTTTTAAACATAAATTAGAAATTTCTGCGTTTTAAAAGAGTGATAGAGAAAAGTGTTTTATTTGATGTACGCATTATTCGAAGAAATTCTCATGAATCCCGTCGGAAGCTAAGTTTTTCAGGCGCTTTACCTACCTACTATCTATACCTATAGTGTGAAACTGTCATTCGTTAATAATTTTAAAAAGGGCGGATTTGGTTTTTTTCCCAAAAAAAAAAGGGCCGGGGGGAAAAAGGGGAAAAAAAAGCTTTTTGTGTTTTTTCCCCTTTTTAAATTTTTTTTTTTTTTTTCCCCCTTCCCCCCCCCCCTTTTTGGGGGGGGGGGGATTTTTTTTTTTTTTAAAAATTTTTTTTTTTTTTTTTTTTTTTTTTTTTTTTTTTTTTTTTTTTGGGGGGGGGGTTTTTTGGGGGGGGGGGGGTTTTTTTTTTTTTTGGGGTTTTTTTTTTTTTTTTTTTTTTTTTTTGCTATCTAATTAGTAATTACATCGGAATCATTAACTTATTTCAATCGAATTATATTTTAAAGAAAATACTATTTCTTTTCGAAAAGAAAATTCTGCTTATGTACTATTGTTTAACATTACGTATATATTGGCCCACTAGCTTAACTTGGGTTTCTGAAGCTATAATCAAGCAAAGGAATATTATGTTAGAGAAAATGTAGTTATTCTAATGATCGTAAATTTTAAAGTCACCTATTACATCTTCTTTACAAATATGATCTAAAAACTTTAAATAGAAAGACCTTAAAAATAGTACAAACTTCGACATCCTAACATTATTAATAAATTTAATATGACAAATATATATCCGACATTGAATTTATATTAGCCAAGCTTTGTATAAAATATGTATTTTAATAATATTAATAACAGATCAACATATATAACAGATATATAGTAGTTAGTTGACGTCAGTTTGATAAGAGACGGACCTGTGCGATATAAATATATTTTAGTTATGTACACCTTACTCACTTATATAGGTAAGATAATCTATACATACCGCGCCTTTTTTCGAATTACTAAATATCTAGGAAATGTTTTAAGAATGAAAATGGGGAAATCGCTTTACTAGGCCAAGGATTGGTGGACTGTAAGACACATAATGATAAAAAGTTGATAGACTTTTTGCAAATAAGACAGATTAAGTACTGCCTGTAGTTTACGCGAGTAATACACTTATAAATAAAATACTTTTAACATTTTAAACTCGAAATATATTAGTTTATTTTGTAAAGCATACGAAATTCTATTCTATTCTTATATACATTAGGTAGGAATTAAAACAAAACTGCAGCGCTTGATATTCTTTTTTTTGTAATCTATGTTGTTTTATAAAATGCATTTTATACATTTTATAAGAAATAATTTTTGTAAGATCTCCGTTACTTTATATATTTACTGAGATATATTAGGTATATACCCTAAATATGAGTTATGTATTCAAAATTTAAAAGATCTCTTTCGGGCAGGAATATTGATTGTTCATTCCATAACACTATAGTAAAAGGGCGGACTATATGAGCAGTGGAAGTATTAATAAAGTAAAATATGATTTATTAAAGTCATTTATTAAAAGTGTACTTTTATTTCTTATAGTAAGACTGATAATAATATTATGTACAAAACAATTATATATATCAATGCAATATACTCTTAACAAAAAGAGTCACATAGTGTGCAGAACGTAACAATGATTATTTTTTAGAATTGAATGAACTTATAAAACAAAATTTAATTGGTGCTTTATTAATAAATGTAGGCAGTACTTATTGACGTTTTTGTTTAAGATTAAGACAAAATAGTCATAACTGTACATTTCTTAATAAAGCTTGATCTAATAAACAGAGGCCTAGGCTAAATAAATTCGATTCGACAACAAAATATTCGATCATAAAATTTTATCTACCTGATAACAGGTTGTAGGTATCATCTACCTAATGCATCAATAAAACATTCTAGACCATAAACAACATTTAAACTTATAAATCATTTACTGTCATTTGTTTTAATAGTTGTTGACACTGGATCTATAAAATTATTATTGTCTTTATATAATTTGGTTTATAAAGAACATTATCTCATCTGTTTTTGTTTTATTTAATGCAATTTGAATAAATGAGAACAAATATAGATTTTCATCAATAAGTTGTTGCCATAAGGATTCCTTTTAATATTGTTCACATTTAAACGAATTTGCATTTTGGATTTGAGTTACTATGGTGAGATATTGTGGAAACATCTTGAGCTTTGATGTCATGGGTAAAGTCAAATCTAAACGACAGCACTTATTATATATTATTATGACAAAATGAATTGCAATTTGCGATGACAGTCGTCAGCTAATCTTTAACTATTATTATCATAATAATAGACTTCTTTCTTTACAAACAATATTAATTGTCAATATACATAATCACGTAAATTGTAAACCTTTGGCTTCAACCAAAACATTTGGCAAACAGTATTTACGTCAATACAGGAATAATTTGGTATTTGTATTTGGTGCTTTTAACAAAAATATAGTGTTTTAAATTTCGAATTTTAACATTTTATTGTGACGTTAAATTTGAGCGACAAACTATAATTATATATTAACTAATTGTAAGGTCTTAACATATAAAAAATTCATGGAATGCTACATGAAGTCATGGAGATTAACTGTATATAAAACAGTATTGTTGCACGATCATTATTGTACAGCCTCATAATTTAACTTAAACATTAAAACATAGGAATTCGTCTTAGGAATGTTTCGCAGTCTCAGATAAAATAATTATTTTGGTAACAGATACATTCAATAAAATTAACTTTATCAACTAGAATATAAAGTAACCGGCGAAGGAAACTTATACATATGTACTTTGAACCACGAATCCAATGACCGAGGATTATCTTATAACTTAAATCTAGAGTTATTAACGCGTTACACGTCGCCGGTACTTCCGCTACTGTACGAACGTATTTGGTCATCTAGCGACACCACTATATTATGAGCACACGGATTTTTGTGTCTGACTAATTTAGAACAATAAATAGTTTCATTCATTTCAATGGTATTTACGACACATAAATCTTCAGCGATGAATTCTTAATAGTACGGTTCTAAGTGAGATTCTGTATGAGCGGGCAGGGCCGCCGAGATTCCGGTTTGTTCTGGAGGTCGGGTGCATGCTTGAGCTAGCTCAACTGCCCATTGAAACGACGGAAGGGCGGTCCACGTCAGACGCATGTGAATACACACTATCCTCATAGTACTCCTTGTGGGGGTGTGTGTGTGCGTGCTGTTGTGCGGCGTAAGGTGTGTGAGCATGTGCGTGCGCATGCGCCGGCGGTGGCTCTTCCAGTTTGACGTTATGTGGCGTGTAGTAATTCATACCGACTGCACGACTCTCAGCGGTTCCAGAACTTTCCACTGCTGTTAGACAAAAAATACATCTATCTATAAAGCTGAACAGTTTGTTTGTTTATTTGTATGTTTGAACGGGTTAATTTCAGATAATTTTTTTTTGTGTTAGAGCATTTATCGAGGAAGGCTATAGGCTATAAAACATCTCCCTGTGACTAATACAACCGAAGAAACAACGGGAAATGCGGTAAAAATTTTTTCAACTATAATGTCGTTTTTACCAATTTTAATTTTTTACCTTTCACTTCTCTTTCCTCCTTGAGGTCTTGAAGATGAACGGTCGACGAAAGTCGATCCGCGAGCCCTGAAATTGTTTTTTGTTTATAGTGCTCATACTTACTTTGTCCATATATTTTAGTCAATGTATTTTTTATTAACTATTCTAATATTATAAAGGTAAAGAGTTTGTGTGAATGCGATTTTTTTTGTAGGTTAGAGTATTTATCAAGAAAAGCTTTAGACAATACGAGCGAAGTAACAGAAAGAAATGTTAAAAAAAGAATAAAATAAACGATTTACAATACCCAAAATTATATATAAAAGAGTCATTTTTTTAAAATGATCTAATAAAATGTTAGCGTCAGTAGGTATATTCTATTTTTTAGGATTAAATTGCAAGAACGACGAGATGCAGACGAAGTCGCAGGCACAGCTTGTATTTATATATTTAGTTGGTACTGCATACTTAATTTACATTTCATATATATTTTGTCCATTGTGGCTCTCTTAAAAGCTAAATCGGGCAACGATTTTATTTAAAAAGTTTTCGGTCTAAAAATACCATCACATAAAATACTCAGAGATTAATAAAGATTATTATATACTGTCTCTAGTTTACGCGAGTAGTACATATTTAACTATAACACTTGAACGGGTTTAAAACGCGATATATATAAGTTAGCTTGTGTTTAAATAAAAAAATATGTTATATCAATTTTAATAATCCAACTCACAACTGTTTTTAACATCTACAGGGGAGGGCAGAGTGTGAACGGTGTGCGATGTGTGCTGTGTGTGGTGGAGAGCGCGGGGGCGAGCGCCGTGTGCGAAGCATGCGTCTGCGCATGCGCGGCATGGGTGATGTTCTTGCTTAGCTGACGCTCCGCTTTTATGCTGTTCTTCGGCTTTCGTTTCCGTGTCTGAAAATATTGGAAATCAAAATTAACATTGAATCACACTTTTGTAAAATATTCTCGTTTCTCGTTTATTTTTAGTTTTGTGTGCATGCAAATAAAAAATGTGCTAACCACACTTCTATTTTATCAACGGATCAAGTACTATGTTGGTTAGATTACTACCCACTGGTGTATATTAGCTGAAACGTCGGGCGGTACTTAAGTAAGTTTAACTAATACCTCTCTCGATATCTTAACAGTACAAGACATTTTAAATGGCTGTAAGTTTCAATAAAGTAAAGAATTGTAATACCTGTATGGAGTCTTTCTTCATTGCTATAGGTCTGTTGATGTTATGCAGCTTGTAGTAAAGACCACATGCGTTACACACGGCTTCACCATGTGCATTGCGTCTCCACAAAGATGTAACTGTAGTTTGGCAGTTGGTACATGACATTCCAGGTCGCTTTGCACCCATCTGTACCCAGAAATGTTCAATTAGTGGATTTATAATCAACACTCCAGTTCCGCAAGAAAAAAGCGCTTAATTCTTTAATTAGTGAAGGTTTTTGTAACTAAAATATTTAGTTTGTAAAACAGTTAAAAATGTAACTCACTAATTCAACACAAAACTAATTGTGAAAATTTATAAAATGTAACTTCTTGCGGAAAGGAGTGCTATGAGAAAAACAAAATATTAGAAGTTTGAAATGACTAAGCTTTAAAATTAATGAAAATGGAACTAAAATAAAGGTAGACAGTTTCTCTTGATCTACCTTCAGTTTAGACATAATCATGCAATGGGACGAAGCTATGATAAATTATTAGTAAGCGAAGAGGATGTATGCAATGAAAGGGTAATAATGAAGGTATCTAAAAGCAGACAGGATTTGATGACAGAGCTCAGGATTGGAATTCTACTTGGGTAGGACAGTAAGCAACTACCAACTATTATCCGTAGTTTACGCGAGTAGCACACATTAAAATAAAACTAGTTTATTGGAACCATGGCTGGTTCCGTAATATCAGGTTGAACTACTTTTGAGTAATCAGACATTTCCACTAGTTTAATTTTAACTGTCAATCCAAGATTACGGTTTAAAATTTTGTTAAGATTTTTGATAGTTGGCAGTCTGTAGGAGCGGGATTGGGGCTCACGTACCCCTTTCTTCTGTTTGTAGTCAGGTGGGACGGGAGGCGCACAGTGCGGCGCAGCGGCGCCGTTATACAGGAAGCTCTTGTAGAAATCCGCGCCCCCCGGCGCCCCCTCGGCCACTGCAACCAACACAAGTGTCAAGGACACGATAGGACGCTCGGCGGGCGCGGATTTCACATCGGGCGGATTAGTAGGGCGGGGCGGGCGCGTGTAGTCGAGTGCGTACGTCGGGGGCGGGGAGAGGCGCCGCGTGCCGCTGACGTACCAGCCGCCGCGGCTGCTTCAGCGGGCGGTTCATGCCGTTCATCTTGTTGTAGAGGCCGCACGCGTTGCACAGGTAGTGGCCGGTGCCGTCGCGCCGCCACAATGGTGTGTGGACCGCGCCGCAGTTCACACACTCGCGCCCCTCCGTGAACAACTCGGCCATCTCCGCCATCTCCACTGCGACACACAACATTAACTCGCACCTCGCCCTAGACTGCGCCCTTTGCGCCATCCGCGCTCGCCGAGCGTCACAACATACCGTTGACGAAACCGATACCACAAATACAAGTAAAACACTTTGCATTTAACCTGATGAATTACATAGAATTGACGAGAAAAGATTCCAAAATTGAACGTGCCATTAGTTCTCCAATTACACGAATATATCAGGTTTCTCTTATTAACGTTCATATTACATAACTTGCCCCATCAGCAGTGAGATTGTTTTTGTTTTTGAAACTCGCCTTGACAATGGAGCGTGTGTGTTTGTGGAGGCAAGGCCGCGCGTGCTTCATTCATACAATAAAGTACTCCCCGCACTCTGAAGACCAGGAAGTAACCGAGCGCCCAGTGTGACCTTTTATTTACTTAAGACGTCTTAGACTTAAGATTGTCATTGTAAGAAAACTTTTGACAACAGGATCACTTATAAATATAATTGGACACGGGACTAAGAATTATGTAACCAAGGCACAGAAAAAGGAAATATATTTTATCTTTAGTATTATTTCGTAGTTTTTGAACAAAATGGCCCCATATAGCTGTATTCTAAATTTAAATTATTTTGGACTTTGTGTGTGCCCTTAAAAACTTTAACGCGTTAGTCACTATTTAGTATTTGACATACAAACCCAGTTGTTAGCATGTCATTGACTCATTGTGGCTGTTATTGTCGACTTCGCAATTTTAGGACTGTCTGGTCGTTACTGAATTGCACTTATTTTTACGAGGAATTGACACTTTTTCTAATATTACATTTCTGTTCTAGGTAGGATTTGCCATTCTTCTAAGAATCGTTGTGAGAAATCTTGAATACGAAATTAAAAGTATTAAAACTATACGTATGGGAAACTTTTTATTGAGCTCTTAAGATTCTAAAAACGCTTTCCGTAAGAAATACGATTGAAAGCTGGATTCATCGTTCATATATTTAAGAGTAAAATCATTTAAATTAACATAAAAAACACAAAATAACTTATTTTGTACCAGTATTTACGACTTACATTTTTAATTAAAAAATTGGCATACTAGGCAGACTAATAAAAGAGTACGTTTTTATTTTATGAATCCATTTTATTACGAGGAACATCATCAGATTCTGTTCCACAACAGATAGACTTTTTTTATGTTTCTCAGAGATTCAAATGCAGGACTTTCCACGAATAATTAAATGCACATACCTATATATTTAATCAAAAACATACCGAGGTAAAAATAGATTGTTTCGATCGGGCATGGCACAGGAGTCTGATGACTTGCCTATTAAAAACTGACCGATAAACACCGTTAAATGTCCCAAAGATTTCACTTTGAAACAATTTTTTAATTTATTTATTTAATCCACGTCGCGGTTAAAGTTACAGGTACAGCAAAATGTAATAATGACGTCACAACTTCCGTTAATAAAGTAAGGTGATCCGCTATCGACGAGACGAGAGGAACGGTGTCGGGTTACATCCGATATTATTTCTTATGTGGTACTTACCTGCTAGCTCTCGCAGAGTACTTTGCTTTACCAGCGAAAACACTTCTCAGAAACACTTGTTTACGGTTCCTACTTAACTTTTACTAAGTTTCTAACATATTTATAATGTCTATAGATTAACTATAATACAATAAAACAGACGAGAACATAATATAACGTAATTGTACAAGTTTCAAAATATTTTTTTAATTATGATTATTGTAAACCAAAATCCACATTTATCTATGAAAATAATGTTTAGTTAAGAAATTAGTAAGTTACATTTGGAAAACTTACTTAGAGGTTTTTTGGGGATTTTAATTATATTTTGGCCAATACGAGCATTAATTAATTTGAGTACTAATAATAAAGAACCTATAAGTATAATAACTGTATACTAGATAACTTTTGAACACAATGTTACACATAAAACGTTTTATGCATAATATTTCTGGCCTGTTTGAAAATAGCTAATATACTAATTTTATCTCAACCGATCTATAACTGAGATTAATAAAACTATTATACGATTCTTAATCATCGACTAATCGTCAAACATTCAGCAGACCGCGATCGCCAGTTATCGATTGTTATCTAAATGTCATAGTTACGTCTGTTCGTCTCAATTTAGTGTAAGTGGAGCTCGGGCCATGTGCATATGAAATAGCCATGTCACTCTTTGACATTACGACATCACCTACTAATCTCTGAACAGTTACTACGACTGTCAAAATAATTCTCACCATTGGGGATTGGGATGGATTTTTGGTATATTTATCTAGGATTCAAACCCAGAAACTATTGCGATATTTACCTACCTAACTTTACAAGATATTTGCCTTTACGAGAATTCGAAAACTTTATTATTTTTCACACGTGTGATTGAAAAAAAATAACGATACGGCGAGATCCGATCTTAAACCGGGATCCGTATCGTTTCGTGCTGTTGTTGCTCTAACCAATTAAGCTACCGTGTCCTACACGTCATCGTAGATTTTTTCAATATTAAAAAAATAACAATAGGTAAATTTCTTTCCTATCAATTTTTTCATTTTATTCCTATTTCGGTAAGAGCAACAGCACGGAACGCTGTGCATGCCGGTTCAAGTCCTGCCCATATCGTTTTTTTTCAATCAAAACTCCCATGAATTCGTTTTTGTTTTCCAAACTTTATTTTGTATTTTTTTTATGTCTCTGGATCTAAGATCAAAAACTTTTATTTGGCTTTCTGATGTCTATTTTGTCGACTATCTTATTGTACGAATTGTGTAAGGTTTTCCATATGTGAACAAATAAATGTTGTCCACTCCGGAAAAAGTTCACACTTACGTTTCACAGACAAGGCTGGAACTCCTGTCTTCTGTAGGTAGCACACGTAAGTACAATAGCAATGTACAGTAGCGGCTGGTCTTTATCTTAAGCATTTCGAATCTTAGTGAGTTTAATTGCGGACGACATTAGGTAGCATAACGCCAGTGCCTTATCGCGAGTGCGCTGGTGAAAGCCCCACGGGGGACAATTAACACACTTCAACGTGACGTCATCGCGACGTGACGCGTTTCTTTTGTTTCAACATAGTTCACCTCAAATTAGCTAAGTTGCATAAAAACACGTACAGCGTTAAGGATCATTACTCACATATGAAGTAAAAAGTATTGGAATTTGATTTGTGTGTTACAGTATGTCCAATTCAGATATTAAAGTATTTCATAGCCAAATATTGACGAAATCTTGTTACCTGGAGCCTAGTATGGATTTTATTAGTTCAACAATAATATTTAAACACGAATAAATATATTAACTACGGCTCCGAATTCCGGGTTGATCACCCCTGCTGCAAAGCACATTTAACTAACACCCCATGACCGCAATACTCGCGTAAACTACAGACAATACAATTGTTTGTATGTTCAACATGGAAGTACAGTAGTTAATGAAATTAGATTCATTCGATTTCTATTAAAACTTCAGAGGTGAGGCTTTAATTCATAGTTCTGGTCTCTAAAAGAACAATAATATTTTCTATTAAAATACGAATTGTAATGATAATAAAATTGAACAGATAAAGTTGCAATACACTGACTTATTATGGCAACTTACGCTGAAGCATTTCTCTTGTTATATGGATACATTGTTTAATTTCATACAGTTTCTCTTTAATGACACACAAAATAAAAGGGATGAGCTAAAGCGACATAGGCCAGTATTTGTGTATCGGCGCGGGCGCATCCTGTTTGCGGCACGTGCCTTATCCGATACCATTTACGGAATGCGATTTTAATGCTCAAAGGAGAGTTCGTCGGAAAGGCGTTTTTTTGTCGCGACCAGCTCGACCTACGCAAACATACCACGTCCGCCGCGAGACATACATACAACATATACAGCTACACTGTTATTGTATTATCGCTTTGTTTTCGTTATAATCACGTCGCGCTCGTGCGCGCGCGCTTCCAACAATATTCATTTATCTTTTTTAATATGTTTCAACTTTAATACAATATGAATGACAGAATTGACATACGTGGTGATGCGTGTTTTATGATCGTTTATTATTGTTTCTGAATCACTGCACTTAGTTAAGTATAAGCCAATTTATTTCTAGAATTACCTGGATTGTTATTTGAAAATTTACTTTTACTAAGTAATCCGTTTTTTTCCAGAATTGCATAGACTTTTAATAATTGTATTAGATTTTTTATTTGGTTATAGTTGGTTACATTTGTGTAAATACGAAATTTATTTACCTGTCTAGTGTAATTTAAGTTTAAATTTGCTGAAAGCAATAAATTCACTTGTATTTAATTACTTAAGATATTCAATATCTTAAAACGGTGAGAAATCTCAATCGAATGTGACCCGTTTCACAAGCGGCAAGTTTTTGTGCAATAAAAGCTCGCAATATTTCATAGAAAAGAGCTGTAAATATTTTATGGGTCACAAAATATTAACTGTTTCCACTTTCGAAGACGGATGACGGTTTAAGTGTTGCTTGATGATAAATGCCTTACCCTGCCTCTCGCCCCGCGCTTTATCTCTCGCTACAGATCGTGTATCAGTGTGTTATCACATTAAAAATATCATCAAAGTCTGAAGGGGGTGCGAAGTGAGGGAGGAGAGGGGGCTATCGCGCTTGACCCCGCCGCACTTCGGCAGAACAAAAAATAGTCGAACTATGTATGTTATTGCTTGTTTATCACTAGTTAGGTTGTTACTATAACAATGAGTTAGCTGATTTTTGAGTATTAGTTAAAAATATATAAGAAACGCGTGGAATATCAATCGCGATAATTAGACTTTCAATTATATAGGTAGATAAGGCAAGCGCATTTTGTAAACATACTATTCTTGACACTGGTACGAAAACTACGTTTTTTGCATTATCACACTTCGCATTACATCAGAGATTCAACAAAAACATTATTTTGAAGGGATCTTATTAGAACAAAAAATTTCGACACCGGCAGGATTTGAACTGACATCTACACCGTTCCGTGCTGCTCTTCCAACTATTTTTCAATCCAAATAGATTTTTAAATATTTATGAACTTATGTGCAACAACATTTAAAATTTTAAATCTTTCTAAAATTTAAAAATTATTTTGTATACATTTTCGGTAAATAGGAACTTCAATATTAACTCACTTATATCATCAACTAAACTACTGGTCCGCCTATAATAGTAAATGTATAGCCACTTCTGTATTAAATACTGTCTATAGTTTACGCGAGTAGTACACATTTAAATAAAACACTTTATCGGTTTAAAACGCGATATACAGTTAGTTAAACTTATTTAAAAATGATTTTTTCGACTCGGCTCGAGTTTCGGATCCTTTCCGGGTGCCCTCTCCCCCCCCCCCCCCCCCAAAACCCCCCCCCCCTTCGGTTGCTTTTCGGCGCCGCTCCCCCCCCCCCCCCCCCCCCCCCCCCCCCCCCCAACGTCGGGGCGATGTTAAAAATCATTTTCAAATAAGTTTAACTAATATATCGCGGTTTATATCATTAAAGTGTTTTATTTAAACACTACTGTATTACTTTTCTTCAAATACGACTTAAGAGCGTGCATTAAAAATATCATAACATTTCTATACTTTTCACAGCATCCCCTTAGAACAACGCGACCTCACTATCTGTGCGACAAAATATCTATCGCTCGTCTATAACACCGATAAGATTTTTTTTTCAAATACTCCAAACTAGATGATAATGGGTAAAAAGGGCGTAAAAGGATAGCTTACTTAGATAACGGTTTTTTAACAGGCATTTCGGGCCTACTGTATATTCTTATTTTTGAAGGATCATATTTATTTAAAAAAATATGAAGTGTGTTCAGAGCATCGTTTTCGTTTTTATGTTAATACTAGCTAGGCCCGCGACTTCGTTCGCGTGGAATAGTGACTTTGAATTTTTATTTATTTAGGCTGTTTTTTAACTTATCTAATTGCGCATTTATCGCAGCCAATATATGTTGTAAGTGCTACTTTGCCGCAACACTCTCACCTCACATCACTCCTATTCTAACTCCCACATCCACTCCCACTCCTATTCCTATTCCTATTCCCAAAAAGCCAAAGAAGAAAGTTTCATTGTTCTAGCTTAAAAAACCACGAATTTCCATACAAACTTGAACCCCTTCTTTTAACCCCTTACAACCCCCTATTCGCAATAAAAAGTATAGCCTATGTTCTTTCTCAGGGTCTAAACCATCTGTGTGCCAAATTTCATTCAAATTTGTTCAGTAGTTTTGGCGTGAAAGAGTAACAGACAGACAGACAGAGTTATCGCATTTATAATATACACTACTTATAGTTTTTATTGTAATGGATAAATTCCAACTAATTTTACGACGGAATCCAATATTTAAGGTCGAATTGGATTCTGTTGTTATGACAGTTGATATTGGGAAATAAATAAATATATAATTTAAGTAGGCGTTTAAGCGAGAGTAATCGTTGAACAAAGGGCTCGTTAAAAACAATCGACTGCAAACAGACGTGTGCCCAGTGAATCAGAGAGTGCGCCTTCAATGCGCCTGCGCAGCGTCGTGTTATATGTACTTTGAATCGGTCACGCTATGCCAGCTACGCTTGCTGAGCTAAACGTATTGTTACTCAATACTTGTTACAAAAACACTATTCCATTATACATGGTTTTAAACTGGTCTTTAATACTTTTGGAGAGTTTACTGTTTTGATAATGTTAACACAAAAAAGGCAGATGCAGATCCATTAACAAAATGTTTTTGAAAAGACTAAATGTGGAAATGAATTAAAGACATATTTTTATATACGATGGAGCAGGCACGCTACTTCATCGTATTTTGTCATTATTTCAAAAAATAATTTAAGGTTACAACGGCATCTTTTACACTGGTGGAACTCGAACTCTGTATCATTATATTATACCTTGCAACTCGCTAAGGTATGATATAATGATATCTTAGTTTATTTGGCAATGGTTCCGCATTGGTTCAGCGCCAATCCAATCTATTGGCATGTTTAAGTTGGTTAATTAAATTTATGCAGGTAGTTTTAATCATACCTTCATTTTATATACTTCACGTATTCTTATGTATTTGAAGACATACTAAATAACCGGCAAACATCTAATTATTGGTTAACTAATAACTGAGGTTGTAACGTGTGTAATCTAAAATTGATACGAATTTTAATCAATGATAGTTAAAAGATAATTAGCTAATGGCACGCTCAAATTTTAACGGCATACTGACTATCTGTACTGGTATTATGTTTCAATTTGGTATTGCATAATAATAGAATCTATATGTTTATATAGTCAACGAAACATTGCTTTGAATTATAGCAAGAAGCTGAAAAATTTGATCTTTGTAATTTCAACCAAAAAACTTTTTTTTTACAAAAACAATAAAAGATTAGAACTTGGATTAATCTGAATTATACATATTTTAACTTAGTTGTAACAAGTATAATAGAACTTTAAAAGTTAAGAAAATAATTTAAAAAGTACTCACTGGCTGATAGACTAGCAGCGGCAGATAACTGTGGCCGATAGCTGCACTCAACCCGCCATAACTCCTGAAAATCATTTGGTCTTATTTTAAACATGGCCACTAAGTTTTCTCTCTTTAAATAGTTTTCAAACCGGATTAAAATATACAGCTTCGTTTTATATGGCCGAATAGTGATGATGTTTTAAATTGAATTATTAAAGTTTTCGTTATTTCATTGTATATATCATAATCATCAATGGCTGTACAGCTCAACCTGGGCCGTAGTTTACTCCAATTGTGATCTATCGTGGATTTAGAAGGTCTATACCTATAAAAATTATAAGGCTGAAGAGTTTGTTTGTTTGAATGCACTAATCTTCTTCTTCAAGTTCTGGTTCAAATTCTATTAACATTTATCGAGAAACGCTTGAGGCTACAAAAATTACGCTGGGACCAATATGAGCCGAGAAACAGTGGGAAATGTCGAAAAAACGGAAAAAAATCATCTTTGTTGGTTTCGTTGCATGCGCTCCGAAAACGGTTCAGTATACCCAAAGACATGAATGAAAAAATGATTACACTTTGAACGACCCTCAATAAAATGTCCGCGACTGTATACATAAACGTTCTTAAGCTAATTGGCGCAAGAATGATAGGACGCGACCGATCGTGGGTAACGAGGCTAAAATAGCTAAAATTTATAAAAATACGAAGGTTTGTAAAAATACAATTTGATATCCAAAATTCAATGCGGAAAGCGTCTACAGCTAGTATAAAGACTGTGCTTTTTTATGGTACGCTACTACTTCCGTAGGTTGTTACGCATCGAGTCTTCACTCGGGAATCAGTACCCGTATTTTCACTCGTGCTTGGCCCTCGGTTCTTGTCACTCACGCGCCACTAATTCCTTTATCACTTCGTATGCCGGCCGTTAAATGCACTCGATTCTACATTAACTTATTTAAGGTACTTTTCCCGCACTTTTAAGAGCTTTTAAAAGTCATACTACAAATGAAGCATATTAATGACGTCATTATTTTTTTGCTATATAAGTAAATAGTAGTTGTTGTGTTGCCTATGAAAATATACTTACAGGTTGTGTATAGGTGTGCGGTGATGTCGAGAGGGGGCTTGGTCGCGAAGTTGAGGCGAAGGCTCCACCAAAGCGCGCACTAAATGCTGGTAATGCACCCCCCGAACCGCTCGTCCCGCTCGTACTGCCGGCATTTGTTTCTGCTTCTGCTTCTACATATTCTCCTAGAACCGTGCTGCCGCAATAGCTTGGTGATCCACCTGCGCCTGCAGATGTAAATCCATTTTATTGATACAGAACTAATAATATATTTAGACTGAAAAAATGTATGACTACAGTGGGACTTCAGCCGAATCCATAACATTCCGAGCTGCACTAACCACGCTCTGACACAGTAGCTCAATTGGTTAGAGCTGTGGATACCGGCTCAAGTCCCGCGAGTGTCATGCTATATGGCATTTTATTAATACAATAGTAAAAATTAAAAAAAACTACGGCACTGGCGGTATCTATAAATTTCCGTGATGCTGCTCTGACACGGTAGCTAAATTGGTTAGAGCAGCTCGGAACGCTGTGGATATCAGTTCAAGTCCCGCAGATATTAAATTTGTCTAAATGTGCAACAGCATGTGAAAAGGTTTATTAAGACTTTCAAATGATAGAAAGCTAGCGATAACTAATTTTGTAAACTTTGTGAAACTTAAATAGCAGTCGAGTTATTTTGACATAAGCTCTAAATTGGTCCATTTCTTGTCAATAAAATATAACAATGACACATAAAAACCCCATATCCCATGTAGGAGACGTGAGGTAACACACTTATTTATTACCTGAAGCGGAGGTCCACATCTGGGGGTGTGTAAGATCTGATCCAGCGGGGAAATAAGGTGAACCGGCTGTTGTGTATGCGCAGCGTGTATATACGCCACTCTCCCCCCCACTTGCGCCCGCTTCCGCCGCCGTTCCCGCATTTCTACATAAACAGAATATTATATAGATAAAGAACAGAAAGCAAGAACGTGAATCGTTACTTAAAAGTGGACAGTCGGCAAATAAAAAAAAGTGGTTTGTAAAAGTATTAGGGAAGAAAATCCTAGTAATCATTTTAAATGTTAATTTAAATATAACTACTGTCTAGTAGTTATTGAATATCTATTACATTACTTTTGGATTAACGCTGTTATTTTAATTATATGTACCTAAATATATTGATTTTCTTAAACAAAGTATATTCGCTATCAAATAACAAAGTATTCGGCCTTATTCGGCTGCGTACGAGTATCAAAAAAGCTGCCGAGTACCGAGTATCAACCGAGTATTTGGCCCATCTCTAGTAATTGCCGTCTCGATTGATATGGAAATTAAACTGAATTCCTTTATTAATACTGTACTAACATACCCAGTTACTAAATTATTACTGTTACCAAGGCATAATAAGTTAAACAATAACGTTATCTAATGTAATTTATTATCATGCAGATGGCAAATTAAACAAGCACTTGTCTTTAAGGCTATTTACATGAATTGTTTCAGACTTTCAAACCCGTTCTTTTATGTAATTGAGCGACACAGTTTATAATGTACCGTATTATACAATATTGAGACAGCAATGAGTTTTGTAAAATCCTTGAAAATTCAGGAATAAGTATTTTTGATCTTTATATTACGTTCTATAACTTGTTGTCTATTATTTGTAATTGACAAATTAAGAAAAATATATTATTTAGGGATAATAAATGACGTAGCTTAAGTTATTTTTACAATTATGACAGACATATCTATGCATAGGTAGGTATGTATGCGTCATGAGTAATACAAATAAATTGTTAATTAATTTCGAATTTTAGGTATTAGAATTGAGTTATTTAGGCTTAAAAGAATTTATTTTGATTGATTTGACTGAGGTAATCAGTCATTGAAATTGTAAGCAATATTTACGAGACAGAGACAATATTTGTAACTAGTAATAATTATGTTTCTAACAGTTGTAGGTACTGGTTCTTAATATATTTGTTATTAGGAAATAATACAAATAACTTAAGACCTATTTTAAGATTATATCTGTACTTTGGTGTCTGTGTGGTTGCAATAAAGACTTAGATAAAAAAATATATATGTAAGGTATTCTCTATTCGTTTTAAAAAGCCGCAATTTTTATAACACGGCTAAAAGACAGTTATAGCTAGAAAACTCTTCAGCGGGCGACTTCCGCTCTTTCCTTCTCCCCTTACCCCGCTAACGGCGGAGCACCTCCACGCGTGCTTAAAGCCTCGACCCGCTTGTATAGAATTAGTTTAACGACTGTAACACACGCGTTAGAAGTAATGTCGGTTTTTATTAACTTATGTTAACTCTATTGGTATAGAAGTATACCTTCAATGACGTGGTGGCTTAATTGATTAGAGCAACAGCTCGGAACGCTTTGGATGCCGGTTCAAGTCTTGGCCATATCGTTATTTTCTTTTTTATTAATATTTGTTTTTTTTTTATATTTCTGCCAAAGCAACCGATAATTAATTATTAAATAAAGCAAATAATACTCGTATGTAAATAAACTGTAACTGTGCACTAATTGGTCAAGTATTTAAGCAAAGGTTTTTTTAAATAGGTACGACTTATACGATTAGATAGTTTAAAGGTTTTGGAATCATGTGACAGAACAGGTAGTTGGCATATTTGGAAATCTATATTATTCTACGATTAGACGCAAAATCTATTCATGTTTTCACCGCTAGGTACAATCGGAATTTCCATATAAATATCCTTTTTCTAGTATAAAAAAAATTACGATGTTTTTATTATTACTACCTACTGACAAACAATAACTGAATTCACATAAAAATTACATTAAATATATTATAAATTGCTATTAAACTGTTGTAACAAAAAACAGTTCTCTTTTAATAAAATTCTTTATAGCTCTAACTTTATATGGAAGTAACATCCCAGTCTAGTTGTCATACATGTTATCACGGATGACTAAACTTGTATTTCCTGATTAGTAAATCATCTTCAGCTGCATATTACGGCTATCAAGCTTTATACTTTTAACTTATACGGTTGCGCCCGCGCAAGTAATACGAACCCGGATGCCATAACTAGGTGCCCAGTGCCCTACTAGCGAGAGCGTTCACTTCTATTGTTTTGCTTGAGCTCGAACCGTCAACATGAATACAACTTCTTATCGCTATTACATTACCTATACAGGGGCATAACTGGTAGTTGCGAGTAATATCATTGCATATAATCATTTTTAAAAAGCTGTTAAGGATCCTGCTTCTTCAATCTAAAGGTTAAATAAATTTAGGAAGAGATATACATCAAGAACTCTTATATCTAAACTATATTATTACTGGTAATTTGTAGTAATAACAAAACCTTTGGCAAGGAAAGGAATTTCGATATTGCCTTTGCTGATCTTTTAAATAAAATACTTTAACAGTTTATAACGCGATATATATTAATTAAACTTATTTGAAAATTAATTTTACATTTGAAATTTAATTTAACTTTTATCCGAAACGTCTGGACGTTCTTAAATTAATTTTCAAATAAGTTTAACTAATATATTTCACGTTTCAAACCGTTTTGTGTTCGAAGTGTTTTATTTAAATTAAACGTAAGCTACATACAGAAATCTGTGTCTGTTTCGGAAGACTATATGACTGTCACCTAAAATGGCGCTGTTCTAAATTTGAAAATGAAATTACATTTTATATGTATTTTGTTTAGACAACACATACAACTTCATACTAGTTAACTAATAACTTACTGTTTGTTACAACAAACATAACGTGAGACTAGCCCCGATCGAAAATATTCTGCACTGTGGTCATTTACCACAATTCGCTTCTATACCAAAACACAAGGGCCAATGGGAAAACCCTGATAAACAGTGAATTGTAGGAAATAAGTTTAATTGCCTACCCAGTTTAATTTACAATAAAGCTTATTTTAATTCTGTTTACGTGAAATTATACTATATATATGTCCATATCAATTCGTATAGTTTACTAAACTATACTAATACATTACATAATATAAAATAACGAATTAGTTTTGGGGATTTTAACGTTCAAAGTACGTACTCTAATGCTAAGGGTTTAAAGAAATCTTATTATTTAAACAATATACCTACTATGTAATATTAAACTAAAATGATTTTTCAGTTTATCTTCTTTGGAGGAGATAATTTTAATTCTTGGTAAAATATGAAATGAAATTTTCTGATGGTTAGGAATTGTTGACTTGAATTCAACATACCTTTATACATACTATGAAAACCTCTTCCGATCTTACTCGGTTCAATACTACGTTTATATGTATGTAAAGTCAATTAAATGTTAAATGTTGTTGTTAAGAAGAACACGTGCCATAGTGACCCGCATAACGATAGGATGCGGCAGGAAATGTCCTGTGGGCCAGTAATGAACCTACGACACGTGCGCGCGCGCATTAACATGGCTCGTGTCATGTCGCACTTGGACAAGCCTGGACAGCTTTTCAAGGAACTACTTCGGTGTTCCGTTCCACCCTATGGGTGATCCGCTAATTTGTTTCCGTGTAACTAGTGACCTCAAACAACAAAAACAAATGAATGGGAAAGTGGGAAATTAATCATGTTTGAAACGTCAAAAGTAAAGGGTTATAGTTAATACTTAGAGGACAGATATTCAAATAAAATCCACATTAATTATTATCTTTGGAACAGTACGCGGAACAAAAAACGAACAGCAGTGGGTATTTTCTAAGGTGAAAACATTGCCTAATAAAACTAATTAGTACAGTTAAAAAGTATTTTTTTTTACATTAAACAGCTTCGAAATTTAAATAAAACCTTTGATAGGTTACCTTTTTAGTCGCCATGTTTCAGAGTACAAGATCGACTTTACATAGTAACATTATAATATCATAGTTTTATTAATTTATTTTCTGTTAAATACTATTACCGGCCGCGGTAAACCAGCACAGGAAGGTTGATTTATCTTGAAGAAGATTGTCAAAATAATGCTCAAATTTTTAAGCGTGTTTGAGAAAAAATCTTTATTTTAATATTTGAAAATTTTACTGTATAATATAAAGTTTTACACATAGCCCTTCAGTTTAAGCGAAAATAGTGAAATAATAGTTTAATATTAAAAACATCAAACAAAACAATCGTAAAAACTCGTAAGGGCGCAGCGGGCGATATTTGCGCAGTCGAATGATCCCTATCCTAAGAGCCTATACAAATAACTCATTTCGAGACACTTAAGACGTCACTCGACACGACAAAAAACAGTACAAATTTGGAAAGGCCAGGCATCTTCGAAAGTGTACACTGTCCTAACAAAATCCACCTATTGCACATCTCACTCTCAGATCACTAGCGCCTCACCTATGAGTTGTTATTGATATATATAAGCGCCACAAGTTGTAAGTAATATAAAAAATATAATATTCATTTATTACCTTTTTTTCTTATATTCCGTAATTGGCTGGGAAGGATCCCTTGACAGCCATAAGGACATTTATTGCACTTTATATAAGCCTCTTTAGAATTTGTTTGTTTGTGAAAATAATATAACACAGGCAGGGCGAACCCGTGATAATGTATGGTGCTGATTTACCACTTCATCTGTCTTAACAAAGTTATACAGATGCCAAATCTATTAAGTGACAATCAGGTGAATGAATTAAGGTAATTTAATTGTACTTAATAACTTCCAAAGCGTTACTTTCTTTAAAAACTTTTATCATAAATATCAAAAAAAGCCTTAAAGGGTTACTTCCGGCATAATTTGACTTTGAAAAAATGGATTAAATTCGGCAGCAACATCAACTTTAATTTTAAAACTGTATCCTACACTTACATATCTATTACTTCCAAACAGTCTTTATTCATGTTATGAAATTTATGAACAGTTAAAACGTTTTGTCGAACATACCCTACTAGATAGAAATCCCATGAAATAACGTTTTTAATTATTTGTT